TCACCTCAGCCTCCCAAAGGTGCGGGATTACAGGCTGAGCCACCGAGCCCGGCTGGTAATTTTTTTCAATCCCCGCCTCATCGTCCCCCCTTTTGGAATTCCCAGTGTCTATTGTTGTCATCTTTATGCTCATGTGTACCCATTGTTTAGCTCCCACTTATAAGTGAAAACTTGTGGTGTTTGATTTTCTGTTTCAGGGTTAGTTCACTTAGAATAATGACCTCCAGCTCCATCCATGTTACTGCAAAGGACACAATGGTATTCTTTTTTATGACTACATTGTACTCCATTATATATATACCACAGGTTATTTAACTGGTCAACCTTTGACAGGTACTTAGTTAATGCCATAACTTTGCTAATGTGAATAGGGCTACACTAAATATAGGAATGCAGGTAACTTTTGGGGAAAGGGGGTTAAGGTCTTACTCTATCTCCCAGACTGGAGTGCTGTGACATGATCTCAGCTCACTGCGGCCTTGACCTCTTGGACTCAGGCAATCCTTCAACCTCCACCTCCCGAGTTATTGGAACTACAGGCGTGCCTCATTATGCCTGGTTCACTTTCTTTTTTTTTTTTGTAGTGATGATGTCTCACCATGTTGCCTAGGCTCATCTTGAACTGGGCTCAAGCAGTCCCTCCGCCTCAGCCTCCCAAAGTACTGGGATTACAGGCATTGAACCACCATGCCAGACCAGTTGTCTTTTTTTTTTTTTTTTTTTTTTGAGTTGGAGTCTCACTCTGTCGCCCAGACTGGAGTGTAGTGGCCGCTCCCGGCCACTGCAGCCTCGATCTGCTGGGCTCCGGCGATCTTTCCGCCTCAGCCTTCCAAGTAGCTGGAACTACAGGCACACACTACCACGCCTGGTTGATTTTTTTTTTTTATTATTGTAGAGATGAGGTCTCACCAAGTTACCCAGGTGGGTCTCGAACCCACAGGCTCAGGCAATCCACTCATCTCAGTCTCCCAAGGCACGTGATTACAGGCTGAGCCACCGAGCCCGGCTGTCTTTTTTATATAATGATTTATTTTCCTT